CCCCAAAACCCCAAAACCCCAAAACCCCAACAAGATAGAATTATTTAATTAAGGCAAAATTTAAGAATTAAATAAATCAAGGTGACAATTTGGACTATAAGATATAATTAAGCATTTGCCTTAGGGATTGATTCTCTTATTTCAATCCAATAATTTCTCGGTCTTTATCTCTGAGTTATAGTAAATAAGTTAAAGCCTTTTCTCTCCACTCTATATTATCTGTATTCTTTCTCTCTGCATTCGTTTCACCAGGGTTGAATTACTCAACTTACTCACCTCCTGATTTAGTTTATTTGAACAAACTCGAGCCAATAAACTATTTTATGGGTGTTAAGGTTTAAGATCTTTTATTGCCGCAAGATCGTGTATGCTTGTCAAGTTTCGGAATTCTTAATAAATCTAGTCTCAACTCCATTGAAGAATTTAACATTGGATACTAGACATCATCCTCTAAATATTGTTATCTGGTTGTTAGAACCTTTTAGTTGGAAGTCAAAACCATTGATGAGTACTTTTAAGTTCCTTCCTCGTCTATTGATATCGGGCATTTTATAAGTTTAATAACGTATTAATCACTATCTGATTTTTTTGAATCTTCCCTTTCTGTGTCTTTTATGGGTATTAATTCCTTATCATAATTACTAAGCATTGTAGGGTGAGGCGATTAATTAGTAACTCTGTTTTTCCTATCTGAGAAACTGCTTTATGAATAAAAACTAATGCCGGTTACTAAGCTTTGTTTTTGCTTAAGCTAGTTCAGCTTATTTTGCTAAGGCGCATCCTTTTTACTGAATGATTCTCTATTTACTAAAACTGCATTTTCTTGCATTAATACTGTATCATTCATACTCATCTCATTTCGTTTAAGTTCTTAGATGTACTCGAACAAAGTATTTTATTTAATGAGGCCAGGACTTTAGGATAATATATGAATATCATTTATAGGACTAGGTTCAAGGTCTTCAAACGATTCAACAGCTGTATGTATGTCAATTCTCGATTCATTAGGACTTTTATTTGCTTAAAAACTTTAAGGAATTAATCTTATGTGATTCTAGTCAATCTATCCGAATTCGTGAAACTGTATTGAGTCTTCTCCATCAAAAGCTGTCTCAATTCTTAATTCGTGAAATTTATTATTTTATACGAATCTGTTCAGATCTGGAGAGAATGTTTGTATTATTGTTGATGCTCTTTTATTGCTATTTTGATTATTTTATTGATATGCTTTGGAATTATTAATCGTACCTTTATCGGAAAAGATTGATAATCTCTAGGTTGAAGATTTCAACGATTAACTCAATATAGAATTGTTTTAACTTTCAATTCTCGTTAGAGGATTTATTGACTTCTTTATGTTATGATTACTTGTAATTCCCCTTTAGAAGTCTTAATTGAGTTACCTAGGTGATCTATCAAAAGTTGAACTCAAAGAGAATAAATGTGAAGAGTTCAAAGTTTATCCATTTTTGAAATCTATAGTATTTTTAAACATACTACTGCTTTCTTTCAAAATCTTATCGCCCTTTTTCTTGTAGCTAGCATTGCTTTTTAAAGGTTTACTGTTCCTCTCCGTTTTCGTTTGATAGTTTTTCTTTGTTAGATTTTACTATGGGATTGGATTTGATTATTATTTCATCATATTAACTTCTTAGTATAAGGGTAAGTCCATAGAGGATAGTCTAGAAGGAATTAATATCTTATTCGCATCCTTGTTTTGAGAATATAATTTATGCTTTCTTGTGGAGTTTGAGGAAGAGGTATTAGTAGTTGAGAGCTAGGATGTAATTTGGGGGAATGCTGCTTTAAAATCATTAATTTTGAGAGATATCTATGGAGTCGAATTCATTTTTGATAAATTAAATTGCAAAATAATTAATATAAACTAGTAAATGTTTTTTAAAAGTACTACCTGTTTTAATTTTCACCTTTAGGTTTGCTAATTAAAGACTGGAATATAGTAACTAAATCTATTAAATCAGGTATTAAGATTAGAAATCGATAATTTTAAAGAAATTAAGTTAAAAAGATAGCTATTCAAATAAAATAATTCATAGTTTCACATTTTTAAATTGTTTGGATTGCTAAAATAAGACTTCTAAGCAAGTCCATTGTGACCTAAATTTTCAGAATTAAGATTGAGGATCATTCCTCCTATCCCAGCAGCACTCTATAACCCACTGTTCTCTTTACTAAAGTTCTTTGAAAGTTTACCACTACTTTAGTGATACTAAATATTTTAGTAGAGATTACCCTTGAATTCTCTATTAATTGAAGCTAGTTGCAGGCTACTTTTACTTGGATTTTCATTGGATGTTGCATTCGCAGATTTTTATTTTTCTAGCAAAGATAGCCCCTAAGGTATCTTAAAACTCCCATTACTCGTGATCTGGTCTTAACGAACAATTTATATCTAATTCTTTAATAAAACTGATTTTGAACTTTTAGTCAAACTAGCTGAGTGTTAACCTTGCATATTAGCATTACTCTTTAAGTGAGATTAATCATTTTAGGTTTGATGCAAAAGTAAAAGACTATTATTGTGCAGTTATTGATGCTAATAGGCATGATTTTTAATTAGAACAGATGATTTCTTATAATTATTTAATCCACTTGCTGATGATTCAGACTAGTATCTATATTTATTATTTGATGAAACTGTATCTTGATACTCCAAATTCCTTGTTTTTTCATTTTATATTTTAGGCAGCATTCCTATTGACTCTTTGTGTCCAGCAATCCGATCATTTATGGACAAATTTTGGCTCATTTTATTAGACTGTTAAAGTGTTAAATTATCTTGCAAAGGAGTAAGAATTGAAGAGGGAATCTTGTAGGATTTGACATATTCTTCATACATTAATGAAGAGTTCTTTTTAGACTGAGGCAGCATCAATTAGGGCTTTTAAAGTGTCACCATTTTATTTTTCTTAGCATTTTTTATATTATTGTGCTTAATTGGTTTGCCTAAAAGTATTCTTTTATGGAGTTCCCTTTAATGAGCATAGGTGTCATCCTAAATACTTATTTCAAACTAAGAAGCAATCTAAGGCGTTTCGATTGGTGAATTCTTAATATTCATTCCAGCAATATGCTTATTACTATTAATATTATTTAGATTGTTAGAAGAGTTATTTAGAATAGGATCTGCAAAATAATCTCGCTCTAAAATATCATCATTATCCTCTGTTATTCCATACATGTCCATAGATTTATTTTTTAATAGTAATAAATTTTAGGATTCTAGACTTTTTTTACTGCGTCTCACTCTATTTAAAACACTAGGAGAGTTATCTTTTGCTTTTATTGATTTTAAGCTTCCAATTTAGGGTAAGTTAATATTTTTATTTGTTAAACTTTATTCGATTATCTATTTCTGCTGATTAACATGAGACCTATTAGAAGCCAAATCATATATGTCCTCTTAAACGACGCTTTATTAATTCTACTATTCATTTAATTTATCATAATTAGCTTTTGGTAATCGTTAGGAGAGATCATTCCAAAATGAACTTTCCTCAGACTAAAGCAAAGATTTCGGAATCCTTATTGTTTTCAGTAAAATAGATTAATCAATTAATGCATAGTTTTACACTAGTTGCGGGAAAAAATATTTAGCTTTTTTCAAAAAAGTAGGCATTTACAATAATTAGTCACAGTTTGGCCTGCTTTCTTATTTTACTTGCAACATTTACTTGAGCATTATGGATAAATCCGAAGAGTAGTGCATTGGTATCTTCGAGTAATGCCCTTTTAGCACTTTCTTATACAATCCACCCATGTCTGTTGATTGAAATGGTGGTTTAAGAGTGAGTAACTCATACAACACACAACCTACTGACCATATATCACTAACAAAGGTATAAGGCTCATCTCTCCAAACTTCAGGGCTAAAGATTTTATCTATGCTTAAATAGCTTACCTGGCATAGTAGGGAGTTCCTGTCTATGTATAATTCAGACCTTCTCTACTGGCAACTTTAGAAACATTCATGTCCCCTAACTTTACTTTTCCATCCTTATTAGTAAATACATTGGCAGACTTAATATCACGATGCATTATATTCAAATCATGCAAAGCTTTTAGACCGAAGATAACCTAAATTATTAATTTAAGTTATGAAGGTTAAAATTGTTTTCTCTTACTTAAATCAATATTTTCCAAACCTCATTTTCTTGAAAGTTTGATTGCGCTTATTACATTTTTTGAATTTTCTAATAAATGTCACCATCATCTGCTAACTCCATAATTATACTATAAAATTCTGATGGTCTCTAACCTTACCATAAAGATTATGTTTATTCATCAATAAATGCTTCTCTGTATTAGCTTACGCAAGGATGTTTAATTGAAGCAAGTATTCTCACTTCATTAATTGCGTTTTCCTTCTCTTTTTCACCCAAGTTACCCATATTAACTTTTTTCATAGCATAATTCACTTAATCTTGATTTCTAATCACATGATATACAGATGAATATGCTCCCTCACCTATTAGACTTGAATGAAATTATTATACCCAATTTTTAAACCACTGTAAAATCGTCGATGGTGCTGGGCTGATACAAATAAATCGACATATATTAAAATTTATTCTTTGAATTTCCATAATTCAGAATTAATTTTCACAAATTAACAGTATCTTGTATTCATGGGGTTTTGGGGTTTTGGGG